ATTTCAAACATATTTGTGCTCTAATCCTCCCTGTTTCGGGCTCTTTGCAAACGATCTCTCTGCAACTCGTACTTTTCCAGCGACTTCTCCACCTCGCGACAATGAGTAAGTTCTATGATCTTTAAGTTCTTTTATGTTTGTAATTTTTTTATTTTTATTTCTGAATTTTCATCCACCTCACCATCACAAGATTCTCTTTTCTTCTTCTTCTTCTTCTTCTCCCTCTTCGTCTCGAAAGCCCTAAAATTTTCTTCCTTGTATATTTCTTACGTTTTTTTTTAGATTTCGCAACCTCCAGTGAAAACGACCATCACTTTGGCCAAGACATGTCAACTCCGTCTTTCTCGACCACTCCTCTGATCTCCCATTTCCCTAAGACTTCTGTCGAAGAAGTTCTCCAACCTACACCCATCTCCATCATTCGACCTGCCACCTCAACCATTCTTCTCTGTGCCAACCCTTTCGTCTGATTGATGAATCGGACAAAGATGTCCTTGATAACATTCCTATCACTTGTCGCGTTCACCCCGATCCAGTGGCTTCGACCACTCTTTTTCCTTCTTCGAACATTCCTTCATCTTCCCAGGCCACAAAACTAACCCTTCGACCAGCCGTTCTAATTCTCGCTGTCGAACCAAAAAGTCTCATTCCCATCACATCAATTGGCTAGACCTTGATGAGGTCAACCGTCCCGGGGCTGTCTGTCGACCCAACGATGGCGATACTTACGATCAACCCTCTGAGGGTTATTAGACCTTTTTCAAATCCAGTTCGACCTGGGTATTTGCTTTCCTATTTATCTGGCACTGCTCGAGCTGTGCGGGATATTTGGTTCGCCCTTGAACCAACTCTCCCCAAACTCCATTCATTTTTTAACCACATACATCGTCCTTTCCTTTGTTTGTCTAGGTCGAATTGACCTACACTTTTTATGTTATTGTTATATGGCCTTGAAACAAGCGAATGGGCTCTACCTCAAAAGTCAAAATGGTGCCCACTATATCTCCGACATCCATTCAAACTGCGAGTGAACAGATCGTTGAGGAAGATTTGATGGGGACCTCGATACCGACAAAGTTTCGGCGGCTCTACCAAAGGTTCTCAAAGACTTCAAAGGTAATCTCGACCTGCCCCTTACTCATCCTTGGTGGTCGAAGTGTTAATGTTATATACTGAAAGCTTGGCTTTGAATGATATTACACTTTTACCCTTTATGAATGAGAAACATGTTAGATTAAACAAGTTCTACGTTCTGTTATTTCACATTAGATAGTGTGGGTCATCATCGGGCTAACTGAAGATCATACTATTAGTTACTCGCGAAACAAGAATAATTGGTTCACAACCTAGATGGACATGAACACTCCATCGGAACGGTTGTAGTGTCAACTGTACAGTTTGTCTTGACTGATTAGCTGCACTAGTACATTTATGTATTGAACATGATCCTAGAGAAGAGTAGTTCGTTTTATACTGATCTTTGTAAACGAATTAGGCCTCAGTTAATTACTGCGTGCTCTTAACCCGTAAGATATTAAACATGCATATAAGTGTAGTACTTATTACTTTGATTCACATGGGTGAGGCTTATTGAACTGGGCCAATAGACCTTCTGCCTTAGGTAATATTGCTACATATAGGATGTGCTGTTAGGATATTTACGGTCATCATGTATGTTTAGTTTGATGATGTTCCCAGAGTGAGTTTATGAAATATTGTTATGCGAAATCCTGCAGGTTAATTAAATTTATGAATGTGATAAATGAGCGCTAGCTTTGGTGAAATAATAATAAATTAATTAATTCTTAATTATCAGTAATCAAATTAATTAATGGATATTATATCTTAAACATGGGGAGATAAATCGAGTAATATTATTGGAGTCTCAATTGAAAATTGGGCTAGGAAAAGGGAGTACATTAATATTATGTTGGTGGCCTATTTAATATTATTTAAGTAATTAGAATAAGAAGGCTGACCCACAAGTATTTTAATTAATTAAGGAGCCATAATCCTAATCTCCTAAGGGTCCATACTGTAGCTCTATATATACATCATTAAGCTCATGGGAAGAGAACACATAATCATAAATCACGCCCCACGCC